CCCCCCCCCCCCCCCCCTTGTAAGTCCGTTGTTAAACTTGGTGCCAGCAAAGAAATTACTTTTACTAAAACAAACAAATATATGTCCCCCTAGAGTCATAACTTAGAGTTACAAGCAGCAACGATAAGCTTGGAAACAACTGCTAGGCTAAACAGTTTTGAAACCTCATTGAGTACAACTCGCCATGGGCTTCAGTTCGCCACTTTAGAAACGAGGAGGAACTGGAGCCGAAATTTGTCCCGCAAGTGTTTCTGGGATTGTTACTGGGGACTCGCCGGTTAGCTATTGTGTGTTTTCACGTGACGTCATGGCGGCTATATTTGTGTCCAAAAACAATGAAAGGGCTGCCATGTTTGTGTCCGAAACCACTCCTGTGGGAGTTGAACTCTTTTCTTACGTAAACGCTTTCTTTTGGTCCAATAAATTTGCATAGCCGCTGGCCACGAGAGTGAAAACACAGAATAGACCTATTCGGCTAACTCAATGTTGTACCCAATTCAAATCTCCCGGGATGTACTGTATTTGCATTATAATGTGGCATTCACGTTTAAATGATATGGAAATTCCTGAAAGAAAACGTTTTATTCCCAAAGGGTTTGAATTGGTCACAACATTGAGTTAGCGGAATTGGTCTATTGGCTTATTTCTTCCCCTGCCTCTAGTAACAGACCCAGAAGCCTTTGCGAAAGTCAACCCAGTCCAGACTCCTTCTCCGGCGTTTCTAAAGTAGTGAATTGGAGTCCATTACGAGTTGTAATGAGGTACCTTTCTTTTGCATGCACATGCTGTGTTATTTCAGTGTTTCCTGAATCTGACTTACAGAGGTTTTTCTGATGGAATAAAATATTTTACCATAACTAAAATTTCTCGCACGATGATTGGTCGAGAGCTATTTTCGATAAGAGTACAGACCAATTTACAGACCATGGAAATGACGTCATGGTGGCGCAATTTGTTTCTTTCTTTCTCGCACTCGCGATTCTCCGAGAAACGATGGATGATGGAAATGGACGTCAATGAAAACTTTCAATGTCATTTTGAAAAAAAAAAAGCAAACAAACAAACAAGTCAACTGCAATTTTCCATGGTCTGTACTCTTATCGACCATAGAAATGACGTCAAAATGTTCAAAACTTTGCGGTGGAACCACTAGCCGACATATCATATGAGAGAGCTACCTGAGCCTTCCTTCTTGTGTTGCTCGCAGCGGTGTTTTGGGGGGCAAAGTCGGCTTGTGCCTGGGCAACCTCTCTTGAGAAAAGAAAACAATAAAGCACGTGAGTAAAGATACGTTCTCTGACCAAGCCTCGAACNTTTGCGAAAGTCAACCCAGTCCAGACTCCTTCTCCGGCGTTTCTAAAGTAGTGAATTGGAGTCCATTACGAGTTGTAATGAGGTACCTTTCTTTTGCATGCACATGCTGTGTTATTTCAGTGTTTCCTGAATCTGACTTACAGAGGTTTTTCTGATGGAATAAAATATTTTACCATAACTAAAATTTCTCGCACGATGATTGGTCGAGAGCTATTTTCGATAAGAGTACAGACCAATTTACAGACCATGGAAATGACGTCATGGTGGCGCAATTTGTTTCTTTCTTTCTCGCACTCGCGATTCTCCGAGAAACGATGGATGATGGAAATGGACGTCAATGAAAACTTTCAATGTCATTTTGAAAAAAAAAAGCAAACAAACAAACAAGTCAACTGCAATTTTCCATGGTCTGTACTCTTATCGACCATAGAAATGACGTCAAAATGTTCAAAACTTTGCGGTGGAACCACTAGCCGACATATCATATGAGAGAGCTACCTGAGCCTTCCTTCTTGTGTTGCTCGCAGCGGTGTTTTGGGGGGCAAAGTCGGCTTGTGCCTGGGCAACCTCTCTTGAGAAAAGAAAACAATAAAGCACGTGAGTAAAGATACGTTCTCTGACCAAGCCTCGAACGGTAAGGGTAGAAAGACAGCAATAGCATCCTCAAAAGTTTCTTGGGGATTAAAAGATATTTATGCACCTATCAATGTAAAGCCGGCAGGGGGAGGCAGGGCATTTGACTGTCTTTGTTGGCCCTGGGGTAGGGAATTTGACCGATCTTGTTCTCCCGGGGGAGGGAATATTTGAATCTTTCTTCGCCCGATGTGGGACCGACGTGGGGATATTTGACTGCCGACTCGGACGAAAGAGACTAAGACCGAACATACACACTTCACGCACGCGACGTACGGTCTGGAAAGATCTGGAAATTATAGAAGCCAACGAG